TCTATGGTTTTCTCCACAGACGCCTACATGACGAAATGAATGACGCACAAAGAGCCTCCGATTTAGGTGAGATATTTTTCCGAAGACTGGTCTATGCTCTTTTTAAAAGTGCATCAGTTGGACATTTTCCCACCGTCTGATATCCTCTGTGGCCGAAGTTTTCTCTGATCAATGATATATGGGACTGCAAAGTAAAATCAGCTGTAACATTAATATTATTCATGTCGGAAAAGCGGAATGTTTGAAAAATAGTCAAGTGCCGCTACTCCAATAATGAAAAACAAAGTCAAACTATTTTTTGGACTATAGGTTACACTTTTTTTCATGGTTTGGGTGTTTCTTGTGACTTATTCTCCAGTGTGACTTATATATTAAAATGTTGACAGTGAAGTGTGGAGAGGTTCTAGTCTTGTGTGTCAGTATCTGCTGCTCCTGTTCCTCCTGTACCACTGTCACTTGGCTCTACTGCGCATGTCTCCTGCAGAAAGAGCCTCTGTCCTGTCTGTATCGTGTCAGTCGATCGCACCGTTACTTCTGCACCACTGAACAATTTAACATTTAATTCTAACTGGAACTGATGCTGAGTCTGACGACAGCGACACAGAAGAGGAAGCGTCGCTCTGTTTACCTCCGGAGGTCGAGGCCGAGTTGCTCAGAAGTGACACCGAGGATGAAGAACTGAATGGATTTAGTGATTTGGAGTGAGATGGAGAGTTTGTTAAACTTGTTCTGTTCTGTTGTTTATGTTATAGTTTATCTGAAGAACTGTTCATATGTGACGTTAACAGTCTGTTGTTCTCTCTTCTATTGTTCTTACTAGAACTTGACTTTCAAACAGGAAACGTCAGTTCCTGGTCTCTGATTTTATAAAATACATTTCCTCCAAAAAGTGTGACTTATATATAATTTTTTTCTTCTTCATGACGCATTTTTTGGTGACTCCAGAGCGACTTATAGCCCTAAAAATACAGTACGAAAGGACATATATTCTCTGTAGCATTTCACTGATGTCAAAAATGCCGACAGCGAACTATACTTCACTCTTTACTTCGCAAGATCAAAGTCGTACTAAAATATTTTGACAGATTTTTGAGCACTGTGTCTCACATAAAATCAGTTTGAGGTCAGTAAGCACAACCAGAATTAATACATAAGACGCACTGTTGATTTTTGAGAAAATTAAATGATTTTAAGTGCACCTTATAGTCTGAAAAACACGGTAGTCTGTCTACATCTCCAAAGATTAAAATTCTCTGTTCCACGAGCTATTTTTCAAGTTAACAGCTCCTTTTTTACCTTTAGTTCAGCAGAGATTGGCAATTCCAGGGCTGAAATTTGATCCTAGTTCATGCGTACAGAGTTTAAAAACACTGTGAAGGTGAAACAGGGTGAAAGTTTGAGAGAAGAACTCAACAAAACACAACTCCAGGTCTGTTTGTGCTGAAGAAACAACGATATAACGTAGATCAGAAAACGGCGTAATGTGGGGTCTTTAAAAATAAAAGGAAGACATCATTTTCCGGCCTAAACGCACTGATGACTGAATGAACGAGTACAGTTTTACCTGAAGGACAGTGGACACAACAGAAGACAACACAACCCCATAGACACTGCTAACACATAGAACGGACACTGTACACCACTACCATGCATTGCATCAGGGGGCAGGGACATCTTTGCACAAAATATAGCCCCTTCTCCGCTCTCACCGACCGCCGTTTTGGTTCTGAAATGATTCCACAGTAGGGATGGGACGAGACCACGAACCACAAAATCTCACAAGAAAAAATTGCCAAAAGAAAGATCGTTGCCTGACCAGCCAGTCTCTTCTAAATAATAATAAATAATAAGAAATCTGGCTCATATACTGCATTTTTGGACACTCAAAGACATTTCTAAATTTGGTTTGAACCTACAAGGGTATGAAATCGGACGATAGAGCGCGAAAAACCTTCGTCCAAACTTGAGATGATTAGGGTGATGAGACTTTCAGAATAAAAAACTGGGACGTTACTGGTTTTGGGTGGTTGGTGATAATAAAATTGTGAAACGAACGCGTAATTAGGGAAAATTCTGAGTCAGTATAGTCACATTTTCTTTGTGTTTTGGTCATTTTTAAGCAGCTTTTCTGTATTTTATCTCAACAAATCACAATTTATGTCTCTCTTTACTGTTGGCAGGGATCAGATTGGTCAAACGTATTAACATCTGGGACATTTCTTGTGTAAAACTGGGACAAATCACTGGTTTTGGATAAATCTGCTGGGATAGAGGACACAGGAATCAAAACTGGGACTGTCCCGGGAAAATAGGAACGTCTGGTCACCCAATGATCCAACCACAGACGCTAATTTCTGTCACGTGTTTCTCAAATCTCCTCTACAAAATTCTCGTAACATTCAGAACAAAATACTGTATAAAACTTCTTTTACCTGAGATAAGTCATAGTTTGTTGTTCAAATTGTTGATATAGAGAAAATTGATGTTGATTTTTTAGTTCTTAATGTTGTTTTTTTCTCCTTTTTTAAAAATTTTTAAGCAGTCAAGTTTGTTTTTGGCGCAAATGGACCACGCAGCTCTCTGATTGGTTAATCCACCTGTCAATCACGCCCTCTGAAATTAAGGAGACATGATAAAGTTCCAGATTGACTCGTCTTTGTAAAGTTTTGTCAAATCGTGTGGTTCTGGCTGGTCAGGTAAACAAAATAAATGAGAAACGAGAAATTAAAAATGAGAAAAATTATCTCGTGAATTTTTTTCCCCAAGTGTTCACATTCGGATCGGACAATAAAGGGTTTCGCGTTCGTGAGTTACATCTCAAGCGGTACTAGGATGGAAATAAAAATATGAAATTGGAAAGTGAATTGTGAAATTTATAGATTAGAAATTATATTAAAGCTACACTATGTAACTTTTCTGGAGGAGGCACTGTTTGTCTCCATGTAGATCTTATTGACATGCCTGAAATGTTCCACAGTTTTCAAATTAAAGTATCTTGGATTTATTTAATTACAGAAGTTTTAATGGCTAAAAAATACAGAAGAAAGCATAAATTCACACTGTAAAACATTCCAGGCAAAGCTTTAACATCTCCATGGAGACAAGCATGTGGCGGACCCTCCATCAGAAAAGTGACTAAAATCTCATTTTATTTCGATCTTGTGAGTCCATGTATCATTCATTCAGTCGTTTTTCAAAATAAAACCAAAAATAAAACGAAAAAACAAATATTTTCTTCATTAGTCTTAAAAACCAAAATGAAAAAACAGATAACAATAGATTTTTTTCAGTTTTTGATTTTGTGTTTAAATGAAAAAAAAAAAAAAAAAACGGATAACAGCCATTTCCTGTGACTTGAACTGCGATTTCGGACTTTTGCCCCACATACGGACTGAACGAGGACTAAACCAGGACTAAAACTAAACCAGAACTAAACCAGGACTAAAACAGGTCCGGGACTAGACCGGAACTAGACCAGGACTGAGACCAGGACTTAGACCGGGACCAGACTGGGATCCGGACCAGGACTGAAACTAGGACTAGACAGGGACCAGACCGGGACTGAGACCAGGACCAGGATTGAGATCGGAACAGGACCAGGACTGAAACCAGGATTGAGACCAAGAACAAGACCAGGACTGAAACCAGGACTGAGACAAGGAACAGAACCGGGACTGAGACCAGGACCAGGATTGAGATCAGGAACAGGACCAGGACTGAAACCAGGATTGAGACCAAGAACAAGACCAGGACTGAGACAAGGAACAGAACCGGGACTGAGACCAGGACCAGGATTGAGATCAGGAACAGGACCAGGACTGAAACCAGGATTGAGACCAAGAACAAGACCAGGACTGAAACCAGGACTGAGACAAGGAACAGAACCGGGACTGAGACCAGGACCAGGATTGAGATCGGGAACAGGACCAGGACTGAAACCAGGATTGAGACCAAGAACAAGACCAGGACTGAAACCAGGACTGAGACAAGGAACAGAACCGGGACTGAGACCAGGACCAGGATTGAGATCAGGAACAGGACCAGGACTGAAACCAGGATTGAGACCAAGAACAAGACCAGGACTGAAACCAGGACTGAGACAAGGAACAGAATCGGGACTGAGACCGAGACCAGGCCAGGTCATGATTTAGACCAGTACTAATCACTCAACAGTCTACGTGGGCGCACCGCTGGCTCGTCCCAACACTCAGTCCTGTTTTAGTCTTGGTTAAGTCCTGGTTCAATCCGTATGTGGCGCAAGAGTCCGGCATCGCAGTTTAAGTCACGGAAACGGGAAACGACCATTAACCATTAACCATTTTTTCCATTAATCACTTAAACACAAAATCAAAAACTAAAAAAAACAAATCATCCATTTTTTCATTTTGATTTAAGACACAAATAATGAAGAATATTTTTTTTTATTTTCTTATTTTTGGTTTTATATTGAAAAAATACATGAACGAACGACACACAGATTCTCTTGGGCCCAGTTTTGTATCTCGTCTCGTCTCGTGGAGCTCGCGTCTCGTCCCATCCCTTTTCCACAGTGAAAATAATACTCAGTTAGTCCAGCTCTGTCCAAACCGCAGTTGGAATGGCTAGCGTGCGGAGTTCTGCTAAGCGAACGCTCGTAAACAACGCTTCACTTAGCTCCGCGTCGAGTCTCGTCAACTCCTCTGATTGCATAAACAAACTCCACTTAAGATCCGTGTGTTTGGAAGATCCGGACAAATTGTATCTCACAGTAATCCTTTCACTGTTTGCATATTTCAAACTTCCGAAAGAAAAAAATATACTCCGGGAAAAGCCATCGGTGGTGTAGTGCGTTAAGCGTTCGCCTGCTAAACGGAGGGTAGCCAGTTCAACCCACCGGTGAAGCCAGTTAAGTTTTACTAGTACTGTAAGTGGCTACGAAAGGACATCTAGCTCGGAAAATTCGCAGATTCACTACGGCAACGCAAAAAAAAAACAACGCAGCATATTCCGTAACGTTCCCGTCACTGGAAAGGTCCCGATCCGAAGCTTTTATCCCACTGCGAGCACTGATTCTCCAACTGGTCCAGCAATTTGTCCACGGAATCCTCCTTGTTTTCCAATTTCAGATACCGTCTCCCGATTCCCAAGTCCAGTCTGGGCCAGCTCCGGTGCGTCATCTCCTCGGACATGTTATCCACGATTTGTCCCGGGATGCTCACGCAAACGTGGGACCTGTGCTCGCCCCGCTGCCCCACCAGCTGCTTCGTGTCCGGGTCGCTTGCCTTGATGAGCGCCTTCAAGTGGACGCCGTGTTTGTAAGGGTTAGTCCTATAGCTCAGGCTGTGGCACCGCCGGGGCAGCGAGAGCCGAACGTCCACGCTGTCCTCCACGCCCAACGTCGACATGGAGCTCGCCGAAACCAGGCAGTTGTTGACTTTGACCAGCGGGATGTTTCGTTTCGGCGTGACGTTTTCCGCTTTGAAATCCGTCTGGCTGGAGTTGCAAGAGTTCGATTTGGACGATTTCAGGGACGGCGTGGATTCGGACTCTTGGTGGTGCAGCGCTTGGGTCTGCAGCACGGCCTGGTGGTAGTCCCTTTCGCCCGTTCTGGTGCGGAGAATGGGTTCGGAGCAGGCGAGTTGCTGCAGGCAGAGGATGTTGAGGTGGGCGGCGGGCAGGCTGCTCACCCACTGGTAGTGCTTGGTCATGGAGTTGGCGACGGCTATCTCCTGGAGGTCGGCGGAGGGGACGGCGGCCGACACGGAGCAGATCACGCTCCTCATCTGCGCCAGGAGCATCTGCGTCTCCCGGTCGCGGTTCTCGTACAGGACGGTGTTGGCGCAGATCAGGATGAACAGCCCCACGCCCATGATGACGGGTCCCAGCAGCTTCATGCGCTCGCTGTGCACCAGGCCGGCTGCAAAGAGAGAAAGGAGAAGAGAAAACTGTTAAAAAATGATCCTGTATTATCTGTTTATACTTTTACTATACTTTGACTGTTTTAATACGTGTTCTGTAATGCCAGACAATTCGTGTATCATTTGTTCAATCATTTTTCAAACTAAAAACAAAAATAAGAAAATGAAAAAACAACAATTTTCTTCATTATTTGTCTCCAAAACCAAAATGAAAAAAACAGATTCGTTTTTTCAGTTTTTGATTTTGTGTTTAAATGAAAAATGGAAAAAATGGATAACGACCGTTTCCCGTTTCTGAAACTTAAACTGCGATACTGGACTTTGGCGCCACATACGGACTGATCGAGGACTAAAACAGGACTAAACTGAGTGTCAGGACGGGCCCGGATGTGCGGTTGGGTGATCAGGACTGAGACCGGGACCAGACTAGGACTGAGACCGGCTTAGTCCTGGTTTAGCCCTGGTTCAGTCCGTATGCGGCACAAACGTCTGGCATAAACACAAAAACGAAAACTGAAAAAGCAAATCATTATCGTTTCTTCATTTTGGTTTTGGAGACAAATAATGAAGAAAATGTTAGTTTTTTCGTTTTCTTATTTTTGGTTTTATATTGAAAAATGAATGAACAAATTATACACGGATTTTGAACATACAGTGTGCGATATTTTTGATGGTTTCACTCAGCCCCAGCTCAAACTGTACGACCAATTCACAGGTTTAAAAGTTCACAGCTCATGAGTCATGTTCTCACACTGAACGGACGACTTCAACAGAGAGAAACCCTCACGAGAGGCGACTGGATTTCAAACATTTTGATGTTTGATATTCTATGACCTACGATTGCCGATCAGGAGCCGGTCGTGAGGTATTAATCGGTTCTCATTACCACATGTTTACTACACGAAGCACAACACACGATTAAGTTGTAAGTGAAAAATCGCCTCAAAAAGGGCCTAAAATCACACACAATGTTCACCCGGCTTAAAGCTTCTTAAAGTGTCCTGAAAACCACTACATAAATAAACTGTATTATTACTATTATTTATCTTCTGTTTTTGTCATGAAAGCAAATGGTATTAGATTGTAAGGTTGTCAAAAATATCGAAAAATCTGATACTAATTGATACTAAAACTAGTACTGAAACTAGATATCCATTTGAGCAGGTATCAATACTAAAAAAGTCACATTCACAGGACAAAAATTAACCTTTCCTGAATGTCTTTAAAATAATTTTGAGCTGGTTGCGACGAGGCACACATGAAAAGACAAATATGTTAAAAATACTATTAAATTATCTGTTTTGTCATGAATGTAAATGATATTAAGTTGTAGGGCTGTCAAAAAATATGTTAAAAATGACTAATATCGATATTAAAACTAGTATTGAAACAAGATACTGATCTGAGTAGGTATCAATACTAAAAAAGTCTCATTGGCAGGACAGAAATGAACCTTTCCTGAAAACCTTTAGAATTATCTTGAGCAAGGAGACACACAAAATGAAAATTACGTAAAAAAAATACTGTTATATTATCTGTTTTTGTCATGAATGTAGGTTGTAGGGTTGTCAAAAGAATTTAAAAATCAGCTAGTAATTGATACTAAAACTAGATACTCATTTCAGCAGGTATCGATACTAAAAACAATCACATACACAGTACAGAAATTCTGAAAACCTTCAGAATTATTTTGAGCAAGGAGACACACAAAATGATAAATATGTTAAAAATACTGTTAAATGATCTGTTTTTGTCATGAATGTAAATGGTATTAGGATGTAGGATTGTCAAAAGTATAGAAAAATACTAATATCGATACTAAAACTAGTATCGAAACTCATTTGAGCAGGTATCGATACTAAAAAAATCACATTGACAGGACAGAAATGAACCTTTCCTGAAAACCTTTAGAATGATCTTGAGCAAGGAGACACACAAAATGAAAAATATGTTAAAAAATACAGTTAAATTATTTGTTTATGTCATGAATGTAAATGATATTAGACACTATGGAACCTCCCTTGGACCATTGAGAATTACAAAGATATAAAATAAAGACCTAACTCAGTCTCGAGATTTACTGTTTTTGGAAAAAATACACACATTTCTAACCCACAAATGTTGAACCTTGTCTTTATTTGTTTGAAATTTGCTCTATAAACATGTCATATTAATCTAATAAAAACATAAAACCCTTTCATCTGTCCAGACCACGTGATTCTCCTGACAGAGGATCGGCCGTAAACTCCTTTAAAAACCCAAAGCTATAAATACTGCAGCCAAGAACAGCAAAACTAGGAATGACACAAATGGAATGTAGTGAACAAAAATAAACTACAGTAAAAGAAAAAAATGCTTTGATCACTGCTTTGCACTTTTGGTATGACACATTCTGTAGTGCAAATAAAGAAAATAATCAAAATATTGTGATATCGTTTCGTCAGAGTTCTCACAATAATATCGTGGACCATCACAAAATATCGAATTACAAGTCTCTTTGTTTAAATTAAGAGTTATGGTGCAGCAATAGATTAAAAAAAAAAGAAAGAGGGAACTACATAGACCATGATCCTTTGTTCTATTTCAGTGCAGACGACAAGAAGAAATAACAGTTCTAACACTTTTAAGTCTTAGTTCTTTGGATTAAGTCTTGTCAAGGCATTTTAAGAGGAAAAAAATAGCATATTAACAGTTTTAGCTGTTAATAGCCTCCACAAAATATCACATTAAATATCGTACCGTGAGATGTATATCGTGAAAATATCGTACCGAGAGATTTGAATATTATTACATCCCTGAATGTGAATCTTAATACTTGCAAAATACAGCTTTAGTCAAAAATGCATTGGAAGTACTTTATAAATACTTCAGCACTTATTATGCATTTTATTATTAGCAAGCTTTTAAAATGTGGTGCCTAAACTAAAATGTTACTCTTTTTTCTTACTAAGGTCCCGTCCACACTAGTTTGTATTCGAGTCGTTTTCGTTGTGGATGCAGTGTTCGTTCACACTAATCCGATGGAAAACGGCTCCAGAGACGGAACGATCTGGTGTCTCCGTCTCCCACGAATTCATCTGAGTACAGATCTGATCCGGCACTGTGTGGACGCCTGAAAACACTGATGTAGGTCTGTGCGCCGCGAAATAATTCACTGCAAAACACTAAGAGGCTAGAATATATGTCCATTCATATAAACATGTGTCTGTGCGTACGACCTGCAGACGTATAATCTCTGAAAAGTTTCACATGAACCATCTCCAACTTGACAGAAACGCAGAACAGACTCACCATCAGCAGAACACCCCTCTGTCCATCAGTGACAGAGGTGTGTTCATATTCCACCGAGTCGTGTCCTTTAGACCGACAGAAGCTGAACCGCATCAGCGCACAAGGAGCGAGCTGTTTTTTTTTATCCTCAGTTTATGCAAATGTGGTTTTAAGGTTCGTTTCTGTAAACCTTAAACAAATATGCTCAAAGCTGTGTGGAGAGGGAAGACTTGCAGTCACAGAAACGACTAGGGGCGTGCAAAAATATCGGAATATCAATATATCGTATCATTTAATGTGATGATACAGTATCGATATCGTGGGCTACTGTATCGATATATCACCAAGAGTATTTTTAGGTGTGTTTTACTAAATTATTTTGTTACAGAGCTACAGTTTTGTTGCTTGTGGAGTGAAAGGAAACTCATTTATGCGACACATTTGACATTTTTACTGTTTTGATGATTAAAATGTTTGTGTTTCATATGAACTTTGCACAAAAAGTGATTTAACAAAGACTTTTAGTATCACAGACATGATGTAGCCTTTATTTTTTATTGAACCGTATCGAATCGATTTGAAATATATCATATCGAATCAAAAGTGCACTGTATCGAGATATGTATCGTATCGTGGCCTGTGTATCGAGGTATGTATCGTATCGGCAACTTCTTAATGATACCCAGCCCTAGAAACGACGTGTCTGGACGCAGATCCGTTTCCAATACGGTGATACGGTGATTCATTTCGGTGTAAACGTAGCCTAGTTTCTACATTTTAGATCCACACAGAAGACATCAAATGCATGACGGAAGATAAATGGAGTAATTTAGTAAAGATAAAGTCTAAACTTGATACTTTCGATGAAGCAGAAGGAGGAAAATTTGAGGATTTGGTTTGAAAACATTAGAAGAAAACGTAGTTAAAACGCTTCATAACTCTATAAATCTTCCGTCATATATTTGATGTCTTCCTCATGTGTATAAAATGTAGAAAGTGATAAAAAATAAAGAGAAAACCACAGAATGAGAGGGAGTGTCCAAACTTTTGACTGGGAGCATAAATACTCCCTCCTTCTTCTGTCTTCTTCTGCCATTTCAGGTTCAACCTTTACTCCATCTCCACCTCCTCACATCCATCATCCTCTCCCTCCATCACATCACCGACGTCTCCTCTGCCGACGTTTATTCTATCGACTATTTATCACACTAAACTCACAACTTTTTTTGTTTTTTTTTGTTTTTTTGGATGGCTGGTATTCTGTATTAAAGGGGCATTGTGTAACTTTTCCGGTAGAGGGCCCGCCTGTTGCACGTTTCCATGGAGACGTTATAGTTTGAAAAATGGCGTTAAGATGACTAAGATGATACTCCCTACAACTGTACAACTCATCGTTATGTAGCAGGTAATACTCCCTACAACTGTACAACAACTTACCCTTATGTAACAGATAATGCTCCCTACAACTGTACAACAACTTACCCTTATGTAACAGATAATGCTCCCTACAACTGTACAACAACTCACCTTTATGTAACAGATAATACTCCCTACAAATGTACAACAACTCGCCCTTATATCACAGATAATACTTCCAACAGATAATACTCCCTACAACTGTACAATGACTCACCCTTATGTAGCAGATAATACTCCCTACAACTGTACGACAACTCGCCCTTGTGTAACAGATAATACTCCCTACAACTGTACAATGACTCACCCTTAT